TGATAAAGAGATGTTAGAGAAGATAGGAGTACGATTTCTCTTCTGAAAATTGATTGATGTGAACCTCTATAAATCTTACTTGTTCTTGGTTGTGTTATTTTTTCTTCAAATTGATTACTCTCGATGGAGACTTATAATTCTCAACAATATAAACATCTTGTAACTGTGCTTTTGTTTCAATCCATCCAATAACCATGAAACTCTTTGATTCAAGTCGATATTATGTAGAATAAACTATTTATCAATCTTGTATCTATTTCAATCTTCGCCTATACGTAAAACTCTTCTCCTTCAAGACATCGAGATTTAAGCTTCACATGATCTTTGGTTAGATTTTGGTAGAATTAAAGTTGCTCTCTATAATTTAAACTCCAATGTTTCTTCCTCAAAGTAGAAGTACAGCAAGATTATCGGGGTAGGAGTTTAAGTCAACTCTTACTTTATTATCTTAATAAATATTTGCAACCTCGATGATATGGAGATGTAATGACCACTTAATTAAGTCTGCACGTTTAACAAATATTGAATTTCATAATTTAATGACATTTTAGTGCGTTAACTTAAATAAATTAAGATCAAACCTGAATGTCGGTGAGTGCAAGATTAAACATTAATTAGAACATTAACATTGAAATACATAATTCAAAATAACAAAACACTCTTTGCAAGTGTTGGTTTTTTTTCTAAATACTCATATACTTAGTATAAAGGTGAATTGGGTACAGTATACGCCTAGAGGTATACGAGAGGGTCGGGATTTAAAATGTAAAAGAAACGATTAAATTGCAAAATTGCATTCAAGGCATATGCTTAACCAGCTTTATATCTCTATACGAAGTGTACCACATGTGCACACGAGTCTATTCATAATAGTAATTGCTAATAACTTAGATAATAATATTTAACACAATTGTTGTTACAACACCTGTTAAGGCGATACTAAATGATATGTTGCTCATTCAGGGGTGGTCGAGCCCCTGTCAACACTTCATCGATCAAGTCTGTCACATCGAGCTTGCCTAGTGCGGTTTACCTCTCTTGT